ATATTGTCATTATATATTTTGACAGCTAGCATTTTAAGGTTTACTTGTAAAAAATTTTGTTTGATTTTGTGCAATTGTTTATTTTTTGTGTCCCATCAAACATGGAAGGTCGAAAGCATCATTTTCAGAATATTTTGCTTTTTTATTACCAAAAAATCAAAATGCTGTTCAAGCAAGGAAAAAATTGTGGTACATTTATGGAGTTGATGTGTTGACAGAACGACGGTGCCAAAACTGGTTTACAAAATTTTGTTCTGGCAATTTCAATATTGAAGATGCATCACGTTCTGGATGGCCAGTTGAAGCCAATGAAAACAAAATAAAGGCACTGATTGAAGCAAACTGCCGAATAACAACACATGAAATCACTAAGAGATTAAATTTGTCAAACTGTTTATGATTACTTGAAAACAAATTGGTTTCATTTCAAAGCTTGATATATGGGTTGCACATGTTCTTAAAGAGAGATGCTCTTTTTGGTGGGATTTTAAGGAAATTTTTTATGGAGCTTTTACCAGACAATTTAACAATTGATTCGAAAGTGTACTGCCATCGAGTAAACAAATTGAGTAATATCATCAAACAAAAAAGGCAGCCGGAATTGATCAACAAAACAGGTGTAGTGTTTTACCACGATAATGTCAAATTTCACACAAATTTGGTAACTCATCAGAAACTGTTATAACTTAGATAGGACGTGCTATCACAACAACTATATTTGCCAGATTGAGCACACACAGATTATTACTTGTTTCGGTCTATACAAATTTTTTTTAACTGTAAGACATTTACTTGAAATGACAATGTCAAAAATCACCTGGCTCTGTTTTTTGTAAGCAATGATAAAAACTTTTATGAATGTGAAATCATGCTACTACCAGAAACGATGAGAACAGGTATTTGACCAAATGGTTGATATATAATTCAATAAAAAAGTAAGTTCATTTTTCATGGAAAAAAAATGAACTTACTTTCTGAACAACCAATAATTAAAGATCTTTTGAAGAAGTGGGGGATGTCAGATCAACAGTCTTAGAATGGCATACAAACCAGGTTGAGGTTAATATGCTTGGGGATTTCTACAATTACAATGCTATTAATTACTTCTGAAAATCCTGAAGAAGAGAGAAAAGCAATTGACATCAGACAGATTCTATAACCCCCACAAACAAAAAAACATAACTAATAAAAATGCAAGACTGCGTATATATGTATTTTTATTATTACATATAAATGAACTTAGTAAGAAAGTATATATTTTTATTTTTTGGGGTCTCCAGAACGAATTAATGAAATTCCCATACAAACTTATGGTAAATTGATAATCAGTTAACGAACAATTCGGATAACGCACAAAGTCTTGGAATGGATTATGTTCATTAACCGATCACCTACTGTATATCTAATATCATAAACCCACTATGTTCATACTACTACTACTACTACTACTACTACTACTACTACTACTACTACTACTACACTGCTAACTGTAAATTATATAATTATAGTATCAGTTCTACTAATACATCTGGAGTAATCAAAACTTAAATGGAATATTGTAAAGAAAAATTCTAACAGATTTAACAAAAATTCTTTAAAATTCATCATAGAAATCAACTTAAAAAATTCTTTGTTGGTTTCTATGATGGGATCCATTTGAAATTTTTATATCTGATTTGCACAGCACATTTGTCCTAGATAAAGCAATAAAAATAATTTCATCAGAAATTCATTTAGTTTGCAAACAGACTATGACTCCTAGAAATGATAGTAAAATTTTCAGTCCCATAATGGACTCAAAATCTTGCTATTTTTAAAAGTAAAGAGTAGCTGAGAGATGATTTTAACAGTATAAAAATATAAATATTTGTCAAACTGCTTTGATAAATATTATTTATTAGTACAAGGTTCTTTTATACCCTTTGTACGGCAAACAAAGTAACTGCTCTGACAAATATATCAGCTATAAAGAAAAATGTGATGTCTTACTCTTAGAATACAAATACAATTATATTTACATTCTAAGATTAGAGCATTATATATGATATCATGGTGTGACTATATTAACAATATGATGGAAGAAAGAGTTGGAAATTCTATAGATATGAAAAGCTAATTTTAGGAGAAGAGAACTAAATTAAACAATTATTAATAAAAACATTTACAATTTCTGGGATTCTATTACTAACAATGCAGCACTACTTAAATCTTTTCTTTAAGATAGAGCGAATAATGATCTTCAGTGTCATAGCTTAATCTACAGCTATATCATCTATATAAACTAGATTATTTGGACCAGTTGATTTTGTAATTAACCTATTTGATGTTGAAATTTTTATTCGTTGCCTGTGACGCCATGTTGAATTTTTGTCAATGTTAAGCCTAAATTTTTTTTTAAAATAATAATTGTGTTTACTGTATTGTAAAAAATTATTTTTTTATGTTTCACAAACAAAATATATATATTGAATAATATAAAAACGAAAAAAAATTTTATTTTAAAAGTTTGTTTTAATATAAAAATTGTGACGTGAAGCGACATCTAGTATCAAAAACGTTCCAATGTAAACACGGAAATATTCAGGATTGCCCATGCAGGTCAATGAGGTCAACACGAATATTTTTGGGATCAGCGTAGGACAGGTTAATGATCAAGAGATGACTGAAGTAAATTGACAGCTTAGAAATAACAAAGTTCTTGGTATAGCTAATATAACTGGTATGATAAAAATTTATTCAGCAATTTCTGATTGCATAATAACATGTTCAAAAAATGCTTTGCATTAGGATGCTTTTCATCAGCATGGAAACGTGCTTTTATTAATGATTTGATGACTTCATTTATATGGGGAAAAAAAGATTTCCTTTAGGGGAACAGGTGATATTCAAAATCTTGAAAGAACAATAATTTAATTTTGGGAAACTTGAAATTGGATGAGATAAAACAATTTTCATGAAAAAAATTTTTAAATTGCACTGTGTTTATTTTTATTTTAAATTGATGGTAAATTTTATTAAAAATATTTTTTTATATAAGTGATATGTAAAAGATGTTTTATTCATATAAAAGCTTTTGACTTTCCTGTAGTTATTAATTTTCAAATTTTTGATTTTGCATTTTACTTCAAAGTGCTTTCATATCAGAAAAAAATTTAAGAAATTTCAATAAATATTAGCAATTATACACAAACACGATACAATTTCTACTGTATCAGAATTATTTTTGTTTAATTTTTATCATTTGTCTGCTCCAAAAACAATTCTGTTTTTTTATTTTTTAAAGTTGTCTGTAAATACTAATTCTAAGTTCCTAATTCTACTAATTTTGTTTTAATATACAGTAGAGCGTCGATTTTCCGAAAGTCAATCATCCGAAACGTGAATCATCCGAAAGAATTCCAGCCGGCAAATTTAAATTTTCGCCAGTGCTGTGGCACTTCAATCTTTGGCTATGTCTTGGACTACTCAAATATTTTACGTTTTTGATACTAAATTAACATCTGAAATATAATTTTTTTATTGTTTTTATATTTTTCAATATATTTATTTTGTTTGTACAAAATAAAAAAGTAATTTTTAACGATACAATAATTTTTGTTAGGCTTAACATCAATTGATTCGGAAAATCAACGCTCTACTGTAATTACTTAGTAATTGTTTAGAAATATTTACTAAGTAAGTAATTGTGGATTGCTACATTGTTGACTCAAGTTAATCTTCATATATGTGTGAGGTTTGCCGATTGGGGAGAAAGTGTCGCGACAGTCGAGCGGTCAGCACTGTCGTGTGGGAGTGAAAAAAAACTTACTGAGACAGGTTCTCCATCGTTTAATAAATATAAAAATTTTTCTTACAACTACTATTTTTCTTCGGCATAAGGCCTATCCACAGAGTGAATCAGTTCGTAAATAAAGTTCAATCTTTTCGACGGTCTTCTCTCCTTCTGGCGAAGATGATGAGAAAATGTAGGCTCCGGGGTGCACAGCACAACTTGAAGAGGTGATTCTCATAGCAGGTTAACTTGGCGAAACTTGCCAAGACGGGATGGCGTAAACTTCTTCCGGAATGACAACCAACTTCCGTTGTTGAACCGCAAGAAAAATCCAGGAGCGGAGCACACCGAACTAAGAACCAAGAACGTCACATCTTTTTTTTTTTTGCGGTTTTTATAAGTTTTTTCTGGGTCCCAGATCGAACATTCCGATAGGTCGATGCCGATCTTCCCCGCTCTCTAATTGGTCCCCCTACCCATTACGAATTGTAACAAGATCAGTGTCCAGATCGTGGGGTGAGTCAACTCCGACTGACAATTTGATTCCTATCGAAGATGTTCAATCTAAGTACTCAAATTCATCCATTGTTTTAACCTGAGTAGTTCGACTTTCTTAGAAATTTTTACAGATATGTTCTTATATGGACATAAAATATTCATTTTGAGTTTGACAGTTTCTTTTTACAATATTATAAGAATAATAATTATAATTATAAAAAGTTTTTTCCATACGAAATTAAAACATTTTCTGTGCACGAATTTCGACCTACTTACGGAGCTTCACATATGTATATTTTTAAAGTCAACACAAATTTTATTATACATTTAAACTAAGCTCTACAAAACTTGCCCAAGAAAAAATTTCAAAGTAATGTTTGCTTGCCATTTCTTTTATATGCTGGCTGACTTTTGTTAGAATATAAGTACTGACATCTTGTTACATACAAGTATAGAATATACTGATTGTGATTGATCAATTTTGAATTGACTCCTGTTTTTGTTGGCTGCAATTGAAAGTAGAGTATAATTTTTTTGTTTTGATTTAATCAGATCTTTGCAATTTTTATTGTGTACAACATCAGCAAATTGCTTCTATTTCTAAGGAAATGGTATCATGTTGCCTTCCCTTAAAGCCCAAATGTTCTATATTTTGCTTTAGTACTAATTGCATAGATTACAATTTTATAACTTGCCAAAGAATTTTAATGTAAATTTAAAATTTATGTAGATTCTGCAAAAAACCATAAATTAGATTTAAATGAAGATATAAAAGGAATTAAGAGCAACTATACAGAATCAGAAATAAGGAAATTACAAGATGAAGTAAATACTTTAAAGAAGAAAAATTCTGGTAAGTAAAATAAATGAAACATTTTTAGTTCATTTTTTAAAATGTACACATTTTCATTTATAGTGAGTTTTTTTTTAAAGAAATAATCATGCATAAAAAAATTTGAGTTTTTAAAATACTGTAAAAAATTTAATATATATAAAATATATAATAATAATAATAATAATAGACTACAGAAAAGCGTTCGACAGTGTTCCACACAGTTGGCTGCTACATATTCTACACATGTACAAAATACATCCATCACTCATTGCATTCTTCCAAAATACTATGCAGCACTGGAGAACAAACACTACATCTCAGGGTTAGTAACACTTCCATACAAACAAATGAAATATTCATTAGGCCAGGAATTTTTCAAAGAGATTCCTTGAGTCCTCTCTGGTTCTGCCTAGCCCTGAACCCATTATCCAACATGTTAAACAACACACATTATGGCTACAATATCAGACATGAAAAAACAACACAGTTTACACTGTCGCATCTCATGTACATGGACGACATAAAACTTTATGCATCCACACAGAAACAACTTCATCAACTTCTACAAATCACATACTCATACACCAAGGACATACAAATGGAGTTTGGCCTAGACAAATGCAAAACACTTCACATAGAAAAAGGAATCCTGAAGAAAGAAGATTTTGCACTTGGAAATGGAGACGTTATTGAATCCATGGAAGAGTGCGAGTTCTACAAGTATTTAGGATTCCAACAGGCCAAACTAACAGAACATACACAAATAAAGCAAAGATTAATTAAAGAATACCAAAGTAGGTTAAACGCTATCCTCAGAACACAGTTAAATGCAAAACACACAGTTAAAGCAATAAACACATATGTCATCCCAGTACTCACATACTCTTTTGGAGTTATACATTGGACTCACACAGATCTCGAGCAACTCCAAAGGAAAACAAGAACAACACTTACTAAGCATAAACAACATCATCCTAAATCCGCCACAGAAAGATTAACCCTTCCACGTAAAGAAGGCGGACGTGGCCTGATTGACATAGTTAACCTTCACTACAAACAAATACAGTCACTGCGAGAGTTTTTCTACAAGAAACAAGAAACATCACAGTTACATAAAGCAGTAACTCTAGCAGACTCAAATAACACACCATTAAACTTACACTCACATCATACAGACATGACACAACACATAAAAAGCATAGACACCATCAAGCAATCGTGGGCTCGAAAGGCACTCCATGGCAGGCATCCTTATGACCTGGCCCAGGATTTTGTTGACAAAACTGCGTCAAACAGCTGGTTAGATCGGGGATGCCTCTTTGGGGAGACGGAAGGATTCATGATTGCCATACAGGATCAGGTCATAAATACTAAAAACTACAGAAAACACATACTCAAAGATACAACACTCACAAATGACACATGCAGAAAATGTCACATCATGCCAGAAACTATACAACACATCACTTCTGGTTGCAAGCTCTTGGCACAGACAGATTACTTACATAGACACAATCAAGTAGCAAATATAATACACCAAGAGCTTGCAAAGAAACACAAATTGGCAGACATCCACGAACCATACTACAAGTATATTCCACAGACAGTATTGGAAAACAACACGCACAAAATGTACTACGACAGAGCCATAATCACAGATAAAACAATTTACCACAACAGACCAGACATCACACTCATTGACAAACACAATAAAATCACATACATTATAGACATAGCCATTCCAAACACTCACAATGTACAAAACACATGCACTGAAAAAATTAGCAAGTACACAGAACTCGCCCAGGAAATAAGGCATCTGTGGAGGATGGATAGGGTAGTTATTGTACCTGTTGTTCTCTCCTGTACAGGTGTGATACCACACACACTACACAAAAGCCTGGGAACATTGCAATTGAATAGAAATACATACATCACACTACAGAAGGCCACTATATTGAATACATGCCACATTGTTAGGAAATTCCTTAATACAGACACTGACACTGACACACTTATTTAATTTGTTTTGGTTGCTATGCCTTGACTCTGGTCTGGCATAGTACACAGCCACTGGTGTGTACCGAGTATAACCCATTAAACCCAACACATAATAATAATATATTATATTTTCTTGATTAAATTCCAGGATTCAAATAAACCTGGGGAATAAAGGTTCTGTGAAAAATAAACTCTGGACTGAAAGAAATTTCAATAAATATTAGCAATTATACACAAACACTATACAATTTATACTCTATTAGAATTATTTTTGTTTAATTTTTATCATTTGTCTGCTTCAAAAACAGTTCTATTTTTTTATTTCTTAAAGTTGTCTGTAAATACTAAGTTCCTAATTCTACTAATTTTGTTTTAATATAATTACTTAGTAATTGTTTAGAAGCATGGGAAACATTGAAATACTGCACTGTGTAGGTTAAAAATAAATTCCTGGGGTTTTAGTTAAGGAAATACAGTATACATATTCATACTGGAATGAACATTAAAATAAATGTCTAAATAATTAACATGAACTAAACAGATATAAGAAATATAAAATTTAAAATATGGTATTTGTTGAAACTACTAATACTTCTGAGTTTTCTATTATGAAGTATAAAGAAAACATGTTTTCAAATTAAAATTTCTGAATTATTCTTCATATTTTCTAAATTAATTTTATTGAAAATTGCAAACTTATACATTTCCTCTGCCGTCCATTTGTCTGTCCTTTGTTAATATCAAGAAAGGTGTTAGGTAGATGAAAATTGAGAGCAGATATGGAAAGCTTGCGGGCCAGAGGCCCTGATTAACTATTTATGAACATCCAGGCTGACTGGAAGTCATGTGATTCTTTAAATTAAAAGATGATAAAAAATTACAGCCTAGTATTGTGATGTCACAATAAATAATTTCTTGTTAAAATTCAGTATTTTATTTTGTTTTCAACTTCTTTACAGTTTTTAGGAAACTATTTGATTTTACTTAAAAAATAGTTTAATATTTAGCATGTTTTTGTTAGTAAATTTAACATTATGTTTTAACATGTAGAAATGGAATCTGAATTGAGGAAGATGTATCAACAAAGAGAAATAATTAATGGAAGACAAGAATTAGATTCTATTCAAGATGATAAATCTCTCCAGTATAAAGAAATGGAGAAATCTTTAAGATATTTAAAGACAGAAAAAGAAGATATTCATAGAGTAAGTAAAAAAATTAGTTTTATTTTTATTTGATTTCTTACCAGCCTAAATTACAAATACAGTAATAATATGTAAGTATAATCATATAAATATTTATTTACACAGTAATATAAATTTTTTGAATCATTTAAACATTATATGTACTGATGAGAAAGTAATGAGAACATTTGTTTACATTTAATGATAATAATACTAGAAATGTTTAGAAAGTAATAAATTGTTTGTGAATTTACAGATTGTGCTTCTCTAGCTAAGGTAGATCATCTTGAAACTGGATATTTGAATCCTTAGATTAATAATTAATATACAGTAAAACCTGTCTATGGTGACCACCCACGGTTCCTTCAAAAAATGGTCTTTTAGACAGGTGATCGCCCAATACAGGTGGTGCTGTAATACTGTATTTCCGTACATATTTTGCGCACTTTTTAGCCATTTCTACTAAGAAAAACTCGAGATGAGCAAATATAAGCGAATTTTTTCAACGATAGGGCTATATTGATATTGTATTTTATTCTTATCGGATAACTCGATTTATGGGAGTCGTCATGATTTTATAAGACAGATTTAATACCAGTATTTTAAAGATTAATACAATAGTCGCATTTTCTCGATTATAATGCACTCTTTCTTTTTTCTGGCTTAATTAATTCAACTCGGTTGTTTTCGTTCGCTCCTCAGTTACGTGCATTACGTCATCGATATACAAGCGCGTTGTATTTCTACATCACTTTGGTTTTGGTATTTGCTAGTTTAATCTTATTTTAACTTTAAAAATACTGTATTTTTTAATATTTAATATTTTCTTAAGTACAATAAGAAAAATTATTAAATAATAATAAAACGATTTTATTATTTTTTCTCATTGTACGATTTCATTACATTCTGTGATTGTCATTGCGGAATCGAAAAAGGAAGGTTGCCTGTAAAACTGAGTTTTGCATTAATGCATTTATTGTTTTTTGAATATTTTGCATGCGAAAATGACTTGGATATTTTCCTTAAAATATCGGGGAAATAAGGTAGGTGATACAGAAACTATTTATCGCACATGTACTGTACATGAGCTTCAAAATAAATAAATAGATAAGTAAATAAAAATAAATTTTATCAAATGATGAGATCAGCCGATTAATTGTATCGTGTACAATATTTTATACCCCCAAGGAAAATACTGTAGGTCTACGGTAAAATAAATTTCATTTTCCACAGTTAAACTTCGCCGCTAATTGCTGTTGTGATAACTTTAATACGATCTTCTAACGACAGCACTTTGCATTTCTTTCATTTTTCGGACATTTCCCAGCAAACTAAAATGAATTTCCTTTGTTGCTAGACTAATTTACTAGCACCTACACCTAATTTCAAGGGTAGGAAAAGTGCCCGGGATGGGTTCGAACAATAGTTTAGACTAAATCATTATATTAGGAGGTGGAAACGTTGTTGAGATGGGTTCTTACAATAGTTTAGACCAGATACATTCGCAAAAGTGGTTGCTTATTACAGGTGTTGTATGTTGTTTCGGACCAAAAATCGATGCCCGCGGTCGCATTACATGGGTGGTTGTTTAATACAGATAACTTATATGAAGACTCTATGGATAAACTATTCCGTGCCAGAAATTTTTGCCTGTTTTGACAGGTGCCCGTCGAATGCAGGTGGTCGCCTAAGCAGTTTTTACTTACTTCTTAAATTTCATTACTTTAAAATCCTAGTTTTTCTAATGATTGATTTTTTGAAAGTAGAGTTTAACTTTGCAAAAAAAAGAATTTACTTTTATAATTTTCTCAATAATTGAAATATGCCTCAGAACAACAATGTATAGTACATTTTCAGTTTTTACAGGCAAAACAAAAAACAGTATATCAGAAACATTAATAGTGATTTAATTCTTAAATCAAGACAAAAAGTATATTACTACACCATAGTATTTATGAACTCATAATTAACAATCTTTTATTTAGGGATATCAAATCTTCAACTTTTTTAATCTTCAAAGCTTTAAAACATGATTTTCAAAACTTTGAAGCTTTGAAACTTCAAAATTTTGAAAGTTTTAATGCCAACATTTTTGCTGTAGTAATTTATTGTTACTAGAAATGAATGAATTTAATTTATTATTAATTGATTAAATGACTATATTGAGAATTCTTATAATTAAATTCTAAAATTTCTGGTCTGTATTTATGAAACAAGCCTTATTCAAATTCAGTTTAGAATTTCAAATCTGTTTGATTATTAAACACGTTTGAGATTTACTTTGAAATAAAAAATTAAGTATACAAAAGCATTAAAAGGATGAGGAGGCACTTGATTCTTTACTTTTGTTAAAATGTTACCACAAATTGAGAAAACCCTTCCATTATCAGTTGATGGTTTTGAGTGCTAAGTAAAATTTCTGTACATTTTTCACTATGTTTACATGCCAACAGTAACATTTTAATTTATTCTACTCTGAAATTTACTTTTACTATTGTTTGAATATTAATTAAAATCTTGGCTCATTTTTTTCTGAAGCTTCAAAGTCTAAAAATTCCAAGAATTTTCAAAGGTTTGAAGCTTCAAACACTTTGATTAATATCCTTACTTTTATTGAATTTTTCAAAACTGAAATAGTTTTAAAGGATGTATGTACCAGTAGAACAATCATATATTTTATTGTTAAGGGAAAATGTTGTACATTAACTACTGATGAAAAAATATTAGAAGTAATAAGACATACACTTGCAGAAGGGCCATTGTGTAGAAATTTGAACCACATTCCTTGAGTAATTGTAATGTTGTCCTAATATACAGTGTTGTTCGGCAATTTTTTCCAGATACCTGTTTACCTCTTTGACTTTGATATTGCTCTCCAGAGTCTGTCAGCCTCTTCTTTTTAATATTCTTCCACTCATACATGTTAATCTTTTGTTATTTTTTTTTTACTTTTTAACATGTTTTAAGTCACTGGGTGAAGTGAAATGTGAATATACTCTGCATTAACCATCTTGTTTGCTATAAAGCAGTGTTTCACTGAAACCATTCAAGTGTCTGAACACAAATGCCATCCAGAGATGGAAATTAGATCTGCCAGTATCTGTTTTGTGTGAAGGAAGTGCTATACATCATTTGTCCACAAAAAATTTTTCTTTTCCAAAAATGTGCTATACAGCATTGTTCTGGGGTGTACAGTACTTCAATTATCTATATCTTTTCACACTTGATATTTTGTAAACCTTTCTATTTCTCTGAAACAGTTATTTTTAGAAAGTCACAAAAGTTTTTATTCTTTCTGTGATCATAAATTCTTCAAATTATATTTTTATAATTACAGTTATCCGTTGATTAACATGCAAAATTAATTGTGACAATTTTTTTTTATATGGCAGAAATTTTAATTAATGCAGCTTTAACAGCTATCTTTATTCTTTATTTAACATAGGTATATTTTTCTCAGCAAATAAGATGTTAGTGAATTTGCTATTTTCTTTTATTAAAATAAAAATATTTGTTATTAACTGAAAATTTGTTCTAGCGGTGGTGGTTGTTTGGTCAAGTACTGAGGTACCACTGTATTTCATTAACGTGATTTGGATGTATGTGGTAGCATTTAGGGATTAATGAACTGTGTTAATCAAGGGATATCTGTTATCTGTATTGAAGTTTTTATTCTCATTGTTGGAGGAAATTTTTGAACTAATCTAAATGACTGTATTCTATATAAAATAGCTACAATATTTACAATTAGAAAATTATATTGGAAAAAAGTTGAGATGATACTGTAAAAGGAGATGACTAAGATTACTTTTGTTATTGTTTATTAAAGTTTATTATTTATTATTTGTAAAAAGTAAAAACTTAAAAAAACATTCAAATATTCAATTCAGAAAGGCTTTAATTTAAAAAAGTACTTGTTATATATATTGCAGAAGGGCCATCATGTAGAAATTTATCAAATATGAATTATAATGTAAATAGAACATTAACTTTTTGTAAACATATTTATAAATAAAACAAAAACTGTGATCCACTTATTATAACTGAAAGGTTTATCTTTCAACCTAATGCTGTGGATTTCAATGCACTTATGCCAGTAGTCTAGAAGTTTGTGGATACCACTCAGGAAGAAGTCTTTTGATTACAAGTATTGCCACACCTGATTGGGCTATATTACATCCTCATTACTGCAAAGTCTTTTCCCATCCAGATATTCCTCATGGTGGTCCCATTTGAGGAAATAAAGGATAGCAGAGAAATTACAGATTTTGGGGAAAAAGTCAGAGATTAGAAGTGATAAATGTAAATGATGGAGACATTATCAGTAGCTTAGAAATGGATGCTCAAGAAAGGAAAGAAGAGAAAAAGAAAGAAAGAAGGAAAAAATTAAAAAAAAGAAAAAGTAAATAGAAAAGAAAACATTCAAGAGAGTATCACTATGTTTAAGAATTTTTAAAAAAATGAACAATAGTACAGTAAATAGAAAACATATACATTAGAAATCTTTGAGTGCATATTTGGAAAATAAGAGCTGCAATGAAAAAATTTTTGACGATGAGTGTATTAGGCAAGCATATTTGAGAATACTTGGGCAATAAAGAGAGAGGATTTACAGGTTATCCTTCAGAAAAAGTAGTTAATTAGTTTAACTTTTGACATTCTAATGGAGATGGAGTTATAGGTTTAGAATAAATTTTTTTTTTTCCATAAGAACCATGTTTTTTTTTTACTTGGATTTTTTAGGACGCACCTACTGTGTGAAAACACAATTTGGTGTACTCAGTTTTATTTTGAATCAGTGTTTCAGAAAATTTTAATTATGTAATGGTGTTGAATCCGAAAAACCGAATGCCGAAAATCTATCGGGCTAGTATGCTGGGGCTTGTGATGGCCGGTTGAGTGCCTTGTAGGACGTGGGCACTGAATGTGTTCCCAGCCAGCGTTGTAATAACCGTCGATGGTTATATAGTTAGCTTCTATACGCTGGAAGAGGAGATTGGACTGGAGGTCCGGATAGCGTA